TCCCCTTTTTATAAGTCTTACAAAACAAAATTTCGGTCAAGTCGATGAACCCTAACCAACGGAGAACACTTAATTACAGATCTATTTTCAAAAACAGTCTCGAACAAATCTTATCCAATGTACAAAATACTCGAAAATAATACTATGATCGTATAAAAATTTTCATAAACAATATTATTCATTGGAGAATAAAAAAAATAAATTAAGAGAGCATCTCAAGTTAGAGGCGAAACAAAATGTGCAGAAATTCTCGCGCATAACTAGTACTTTTCAAATGTTGTCAACATGTAACCACGGGTGGTCAATGGTTGAAGACGATTTACAGGCCCGTATTTTATACAACACGTCTTAATTCGATTCATGATGCTGGTGAATCGCATAATGGTGGTTAGGAAGAGGCTGAAATGCCTCTGTGAGTCTTTTCGACTCTCGAAAGGATGGACTATCCTAACGAAACCACCAGTTGGTTTTTTTTTTTAAGAAAAAAATGTTGTCAATATCTGCATAACTATAAATTGAAAATTCTATCATATTTCAGTGTATGATATGCAGAGAGTGAATGATCTAAATTCTTTTTATTTGATCAAAAAGTCAAAAGAATCTACTAATTTAAAATTTTGGTGCATGCTTTTGTTAAAAAAATAAAAATTTGGTGCATACTAAGCTCCGGTTCTTAATAACAAACAAACAAACAAATAAATAAATAAATAACACGGTATAATCAAGAAATAAACAAAGAAAAAAGATAAACCAAATAGTAAAATAAATTATTGCTTACAAGTGAAGTCACATCACTTTTAGCGAGATATGATCACGCGCACGATACAAACTAAAGACTTACACTAAATTGAGAACGGAAATCACCAATTAGACTCATCTACACGATGAGAATCAAGAATCAAAACAGACACCCTAGCCAAGACGAACTCACAATTTACCGTTTCCATTTTACTTTATTTAAAATGGTTCTATACACTAAAGAAGATCTATGTACAGACCAATATTCGAATAGGGATAACCTTTATCTGAATTAATTTATGTTCATATTAATTTATCAAGTTTAACCATATGTAACCAAACTACAAGTGCTAATATTCGATTCGAATAAGGGATAACCTTTGTCTGAATTAAATTATGTTCATATGAATTTATCAAATTTAACTTATCGAATGTGGCCAAACTTTTAAAATTTTATCTTTCAAATTTTGGCCATGCCCTGATGATTCTTGACTTCGCTAGTAGTTCCAGTTAAACAATTATTTACATGACCTGGAGAATTGATATCTTCATCAATGTTATTCATTACATGTATACGCAAGATCGGATGCATGCATGGCTTCAATAAAGATTTTTCCAACTACGTACTCAATTTAAAATTATGGACGGCAGTCCAGTTGGGATTTGGATTGCGATCCAAATTGTACTGATCTTAGATATCCTCACATTTTAATCATTTATCCTGCATCGTGCAATAAAAAATTATTTGATTTTTTTATTTAAAATTAAACATAAATAATACCTTACGAAAACTGACCGTATAACATACAATGAATGACTAGATTTTATTTAAAATTAAACATAAATAATACTTGATGAAAACTAACTGTACATATACGATGAACGACTAAAATGTAAGAATCTTAAGATTCTCACCAAATGGATCCAGAGAGGATCCTCTTCCGTCCAGTTGTGGAGATTACATAGGACGAATTATATTTTATATTTGGAGATCATAACGTGATCTTAGACTTAAAAAGTGTCTAGTTGAAGTTAGGTGGGTGTTAAAGTTACCTTGCAGGTATCGAAAATTGGAGGTGGCACGTGAGGTACACGGAGTTTGACAAAAGATTTGATGCCGGAGACACTTAAAGTGGGTGTTAAAGTTACCGTACATGTGTCGAAAATTTGGAGGTGGCACGTGAGGTGAAGGGAGTTTGACAGAAGATTTCATGCCGGAGACATAGGGTCAGAGCTTCATAAGGAGCACATCCACTGTTCAATGTTTATTAAAAGTAAATTAATTAATCAATAGTTCATATGAAGCGTCCACTGTTTAAAGTATTTTAATATATCTCTAGGTTTAATTGCTTATTTTCTTTTGCTGGAGTTGTTTTGGGGTGGATTTTATCTTATTGTGTTGCTAAGGCTTGGGTTTACTTCTTGAAAGGCTTCTGTAATTCTTGTTCTCTGATTCTTGATTAGGCAGTAGGCATAGGAAATTAAATCTTTTATTTTAATTTTACGATTTTCACTTTGTAAACACGAAATTATTATGACAAATCAAAGAAGAACACACGTACAAATTATTATTAGGGTTTACAATCTCTATTTAGAATGTTTGAATCCTCTAATTCGATCTCCGGAGTTGAAAAGTGTGTGTGTAGGATTGTTGATCTAAGGGTCGCAATGGCTTAATCTTGGATGAACAGATGTCGCAAGGTTTTGGTGTGTGGCGATGGAAGAATTGACACATGTGGTGGTGCTTGATGATTCTTCAAAGGTTTGGTGAAGAACGCAGAGAGTTTTTTGAGCCTTTTGAGTGTTTGGGAATTTGGGAGCTTAGGGATTTGAGAGCTTCAGCGTCTGGGTGTTGGAATAATTTTCTAGACCCTTTTCTTTGTCTTAGATCCTTATAGTTATAGACTTTCCAAGCCTTACCTACGGATGGATTCGGCCTTGATTGTAGACTTGATTAATTGATGAAAGAACCAGAACTTGATTTGATACTTGTTTCGTGATTTGACTTCATCAATTAATTTGTTTGATTTAAATTAAAATTAATTAAAGAACTAATAAAGATAATTCTTTAACTATTTTCTGCCAAATGTCGTCGCGTGACGCACTTAGTGACTCGTTTAGTTTTGACATGTTGCATGCCATGTAAGCCCGGACATGTCAAAATTTAATGTGTTAGTAAACATTTATTTCACCGAAATTTCGATATCTACACATTCTTCTGTGTCATGCTTTATCGACTTCTTGTTGACTTGCGTTTTTAGACCGCGAACTAGGAATTCGAGTGGGTCTAAGTCGGAGAGCAATCTAAGCTTGGTACAAAATGAACTATAGTAGTTCACCCATAATCGGACTACATCTATTGTAGTATATTGTAGTGTATTTGAGTATGCATAGACATATTACATTGGGGAGGCATAAAAGCCTTGTTACAGAGAATTTGGGAGAGAAGAACCCTTGCTGCCTCTACGGCAGTCCCTTTTTTAGGCTTCTAAACTTCCTAACTTGGTTGCAACGTGTGTGAAAAGGCTTGTACATTGTGTGACACCCTCCAGCAGCCCCATTTGATGGTGTTCAACTTATGTTGGAGATGGAGTTGGGTCGAAATGTTGGTGAAGTGTTTGGAAGACTCGATGTGGATCCTCTCGGCTCTGCCTCAGTTAGGGATGGGCAATGGTTATGCGGGCGGGTAACCGCGGTTAATTTACCCTTAACCGTTTATGCTCATATCCGCATAACCGTTTACCCGTTGGGTAATTGCCTAAACGGTTATGCCCATACCCATAACCGTTTATAAACGGTTAACCATACCCATAACCGCATACCCATTTAACCGTAACCGTTTAATACCCATTTACCCATTTATCCTTTTTAACCCGTTTATCTTTTTTTTTTTTACTATTACCCTTTTTTCACCCGTCTACATGTTTTTTAACAACTTGAAAGTAAAATAAAAATTGTTATAATTTTTTTTTTGACAATTAAACACCGTTATAGGTACATTCATCATATATTTCCATATTTTAAATTTTTAAGTCCTTATACCATTCCAATAATTGAAATAATAGTTTACGGACAATATTTTTAATTGTTACTAATGAAGGTAAATATAATATTTGCTAAGTATTATTGGGTTACAAAAATTGTTTAGAAGACAATTCAGTCAAAGCATTTCTGTCAATTTTACGCTTACCCGCAAGGAATTTAAATTAATTTGGCCAATTCCTTGATGATGAGAATCATCATTCCTGTAGTGTTATTAAGAAAATGACCAATGAATTACTTGCTAATTTATTAGGTGCTAAGTATTATTGGATCGAGAACATGTTTTGCGTTAGTTTTACATATATAAAATAAATGGGTAAACGGTTACCCGTTTATAACCATGGTTAATACCCATAACCGCCCATTTAAATTTCACGGGTAAACGGTTATACCCATAACCGTTTATTTATCTAAACGGTTACCCATAACCGTAACCGTTTAATTTAAATGGACGGGTAACCGCTGTTACCCATAACCAATGGGTATTTGCCCATCCCTAGCCTCAGTTGCACAGGTATTTCTACTCTTGAGGAATTTCTGGTTTGCCCCAAGTGCCACCGTAGAAACTACTCGAGTAATATTTGTATTGGAATTAACCTTCTCCTCCCTGACAAAACCGTAATGCTCAAATCAATAATAAGCCTTTGATTTCAATATAGAGTGTGTGTTTTGTGAGAGCAGAGGCTTACTATATATACACGTTCAATCCACTTGCCTTTCCTATTAGAATCTGGATGGAACAATGACAAGAAATCCTTGTCCAACAATGAGTGCAAAAACTATAATGGAAACCGTGTTTCAATCCTAAAACGTCTTGAACAATTCAAAATCTCTTTCTATTAGACTTTTTTGCACCAATTTGAATCCAAATAGTCGGCTACAACATAGATTCTCATACTCATATTGAATCAAAGGAAACTGTATAAAGTCTCTGGACCTCCAATTACGTCACGTGTCTCACTTGAGTCATTATGTCCCACTTTCATCTGTTTTGATTATATTAGCTCTCAAATATTGGAAAGGCTATGTACTTTACAAACTGAATTGAAACACCAAAATGTAACACAAGTATAAGTTTAAGGACCACTACCGTAGTTAACCTAAATCATAAAACTATAAAAAAAACAGTTCTACTTTGATTTATCTTCTTCTAAAACAAAAACAAATTCGCAAATTGTTTACTTTTAAACGTGAGATCTTTTGTCACGTCGGATTCCCACCTTTCAATGTTCTTGTTTTAAAATATAAAAAAAATGCAAAGGTCTGGCCCAGTCAATGCAGGCCACTATTCGGCCCGCCACAAAATGAAAGAGTTCAAAGCACGCTTCCCGCCATCGCTCTCAGTTTTTGCCGCGCCCTGCCCTTTTTTGTCTCTCCTCAAAGTGAAAGACCCCGATTCAGATCTGAGAGAGAGAGAGAGAGAGAGATGTTTGGGAAGATAAGAGCGTCTTCTTGTCCGGCGGAAAGCTTGGAGAGACCGCCTTCCAAGATTTTCAAAGACGATTCTCTCTCTATCTACGGTAACACACGCTGTTTATCCTCTTATTACTCTTTTTTTTTTTTTTTGTTGAACTTATTCGCTAAGCAACTCCAGATTTCGAATGTTTTGGCGACAATTTTTTCCGTCGCGCTTGCTTGTGGGCACAGTTTATTTTAGCCTGCCAACTGTTTGATAATTTGCTTCACTGACATCTTTTTTCGTGTTGCAACCCCTTAACTTTGGCAGATATACAGTATTGTATGTTCTCCCACCTCGTTATTTTCCCTACTCAATTCGATTTATTTTCTTTTCGGGGGAGCAAGTTCATCAATGGTTCGGAGTTTGTCCCGTAAAGTTCACTCATTTTCGGGCAAGCAAGAATGCTTAGTGTATTGTTTGGAACAAAATTTCACTTGGGTAACTATCTGCTAGGCCACGAACACGATTGTTGTCATTAATTTCCCTTTTCTTTGATGCAGAGGCTACACTCATGAAGCTCAAATTAGGTTCTAAACGCAATTTAGGTCCATGCTCTGATGAGGTAGGGGAGACAGATACTACCGGTTCTACTTCACGCTCTCCCGATTCTGAGCCAATGAAGATAGAGGCAAATTGTGCTTCTTCCGCTGGCACTTCACCGGGTTGTATTGAAGCCGCCAACTATCCACAGGAGGAGTTTATGACACTAGACACGGATTGTTCCTCACCAAGAAGTTCGATGAGTTTCAGTGATTGTCATTCTGCAGGAACCTCGAAACAGCAACAAGGCACCAACATTTCAGTTCTCTACCTCTTTTCGAAATTTAAGAGAGCTCAAGAGGCTAGCTGCTCGTTCTCTGGGGATGCGATGATGACAGAGAATGCAGGTATTTCTCCGAGTTCTGGCGGATGCCAATCTTTTAACAGCACAGAACAATCAGAACAGGAATGCGTGAACTCTTTACCTGCTAGTCAAATATGTATGCTCTGAGTTGGTTTTTACGATATGGACACGTCTAGATGGATTTCATGTCTTGCTTCATTTTGCACCGGCGATCTGTTGTGGTCTTTATCTATATTGTTTGTTGAAGAATGGAGAGTATGATCCTGGAAGCCGATTTATTGTTGTAACTTCATATACCCAATTGAGGGATGAATAATGTTTATGTATGCGGAATCATATTGTAGTTCATCATCTAGTTTGAAAGAATGTTAAGGTACAACACCGCCCAAGGAATACGAAAAAATTCTTCAAGCTTCAAAGTCACAGATTTCACATGATAATTTATGACGGGTTATTGAATCGTCTAAGATCACATACATAACCGACACAGAGACATAGCGGCTCAGCAAACTCTTTCAAAATTGTGTCCGTTGCCAGAACTGATCATTTCGGTGAAAATCACTCCCTCAACCATGGTGCTTGAGCTGGTGTCCATTGACATAATTCACCTTCTTTGAACCAGAGAGCTGCATAGTTCAAATAGCGAACGAGGAAGAAAAGTGGGAGGGGTTCAAGACGAGAAATATCCATCACAAGAGTAAATGATGCAAGAAGAGCAAGCCTACCTATTTCGCGCTTGCCGTTTTCAGGGCTGTCGCTCCCATGAACCACATTCCTGCCAAGATTTTCAGACAAGATCTCGCCCAGTTAGAATCCACACGCCATCAGGGGAAAATAAAGAATTACTTGTAACCTGATGCGGTTTAATGCACACATCACTACTCAACTACCAAAACGTTAAAGAGCCCAACCTTCCTGTTTGAACAGCAAGATCCCCTCTAATAGTTCCAGGTTCAGCTTGTAGAGGATTTGTAGCCCCAATCAACTTACGTGCTGCTGCCACAACGCCAACACCCTCCCATGCCTTGCTAGCACAACAGCATGGTCAGTATTGTAGTACGAGAATACGGCCAAAATACAGCTCGGATTCATTGATATCCATGGGACACAGACAGAATAGAGGAGAATTAGGATTACTTGTTCATACCATGCACACAACCGGGCCAGATACAATGTACTCGATCAATTTAGGGAAGAATGATTTTCCCTTGAGATCCTTATAATGTTCCTGAAACAACAAAACTCACGCACATAAGGGCACACAATCGAATTATACTAACTTTTCCATGAGTACATAATGCTCTTGAACATTGTAAACGAGATACAATTGTGTGTATCTGAAGATTGATTGCAAAGAATGCATAAATCATACTGAATAAGAGATTGAATCTCATGACCCTCTATGCCTTGAGCTAAACAACTCCAAGCTTTTTCGGTTCCGAGCTGCTTATTATGAAATTCCCCTCTTGCTTAATTCATCAAGCAGGTGCATTAAAAAGTCACCACACAGAACTACCAGAATATCACAATGTACTTTTGAAAGCTTATTTCGGGTTTTTTATAGGGCAGAAAAGAAAAGAGACAAACCTCTGCCAAATCTTGGGGGCACTGGAAGAGCTTCAAGCCAGTCAGCTTAAATCCCTTCTTTTCAAACCTTGAGATTATCTCTCCAACCTAAAACAATTCACCCCATATCACATTTATGGATAACACTAAGAACACCATGCTAAAATCGAAAACCCGAGAGATCTTCCTCCTCCCCAGTCAATTAATGGGAATAAATTAAAGTTCAAGCTTTTGTTTTTTCAAAACCCCAGAAGCGAAAATTTCAGAAGACAACCAAAATTTCGAAAATTTCAGAATTTCATAACTGCGCCAAGTTTTCCAGCTACCAATCACCCTTAAAATTGAACAAACAAAAAATACAAAATTAGAGAATTCAATTAGCTTACAAGGCCACGCTGAACTCCATCAGGCTTCACCATTATGTACGTCTCATCAACTTGTTCCTGAAAAAACACAAAGCCGCCATTAAAATCCCAAATATTCCAATTGGGTTTTTACTAAATGGAAAATCAAACAATGGGTTTTCAACAATTTTGGAAAATATGAAGAGGGTAGGAGGCAAACCAGTGAAGCAACCAAGTGGGGAAGAAAGATGCGAGGTTTGGCGAGGGTTTTGGCATGGGGACGAGCTGCGAAATATGAGAAAAGATGGAGGTTCGAAGGGAATGCGGATAGTTGGTGGTGGCGGGTGCGTAGGTTAGAGTTGCGGTGGGCGGAGGATAAGCTGCTGCAGGTTCTTCTGCGTTGTAGGGATGAGGAAAAGCTTGGACTTGCTCCGCCAAACACTGCCACGGTTTCCATTCTGTCTCTTTGCTTCTCTCTTTCCCTATCCCTCCCTCTCTCTCTGCACGTGTTTATACAGTGCATTTTTTTTGCACGAGGAATTTACTTTTTAAATTTCTTTCTCTATTTATTTTTGTTAATAGTTAGACCTACTCCAACATTAGAAGGAAAACTCAAATTTTAGATTATAAATCTATCCCTTTGACAAAAAAAAAAAAATAAATAAAATCTATCCCAACTTACTCCACCAACTCTTGGAGTAATTATTAGTTTTAAGCATAACTCATTTCTAAGGTAAATTTAGACCATGATTCCCCCTAGGTTAGTGGGGCTGGCCCACCTTGTGTGTGTATTTTTTTAGTTTTATATTTATAAAATCATTGAATTGAACAACTAAAATCTAATATGATCAAATTCAAATGGTAAAAAAAAAAAAAATCTAACGGTTTAAATTTAAATCCAATTGCTAAAGTAATTAAAAAAAATTGATGTCTATGTGTTTTATATTCTTTCATAATGTTCCATGAGTTTCATGGTGTCGGTTTAGTGATTTTTTTAATATTTCTCGAAATCTAAATATTTTTATGTTAAAATGTTCATAAAATTAAATTACAATAGTTTACATAATTTTTTTTAAAATTACTTTAAAAATCCTAAATTCATTTTTAATGATCTCAGACTAAAAATTTAACTTAGAAGAGAAAACTTGTTTCTAGGTTAAAACTTAAATTTTTTTGGTTAAAAATTTTAGGTTTTAACACAATGGTTGGAGATGGTCTTAACTAGGGATGGGCAACGGTTATGGCGGCGGGTGGGTAACCGCGGTTATTTACTCATAACCGTTTAAGCTTTTACCCTCATAATCATTTACCTGTTGAGTATTTATATAAACGGGTATACCCATACCCATAACCGTTTATAAACGGTTAACCATACTCATTTACCTATAACCGCATACTCATTTAACCATAATCGCGTACCTGTTTACTCATTTTTAACCGTTTACTCCTTTTTTTTTTCACTCGTCTACCTATTTTTTTAACAACTTAAAAGTTAAAAAGAAATTTGTCATAATTTTCTTTTTTCTAACAATTAAATACCGTTATAAATACATTTAACATGAATTTTTGTATTAACGACAATATTATTTATGAATATATGCGATGTCTCCCAATTATTTGACAATCAATCTATTACAAGGATCATGCATGGTTGCAGGTTAATTAATATTCATGTTTACATACACATATATATTAATTAATATTCGTGTTTACATACATATATGTATGTATGTATGTATGTAAGTATGCATCAGTTTGCTAATAAGCTAATTTGATAAATATTTGGATTTTTATTTAGAAACATATGTTCATCGATCCAAGCCATTTAATTGATTTCTAATTTTTGGGTTAAATATTTATTGAAAAATCGAGGCCAATTAAATATATATATATATATATATATATATATATATATGTACTGATCGGCCGACAATAACATGTTTCTAAAAGCTCAAGATAATCATTATCTTGAGTTGGCCAAAGCTCCAAAAGACTCCAAAACAAAACTGTTGAACCCTCTAATGCTTTAGCACATTCAATCACATATATTAAACATTGGACTATTCTATCAACTATATTTTTCTCTCAAGTGAGACATATATATATATATATATATATATATATATATATATATATATATATATATTATATGGCCCCTTATAACCAAATATGTCTCGGGATACTAAACTTAGCTAGAAGTTATTTTTTATTTTTTTAGTTTTACATATATTAAAATAAATGATTAATGGGTATCCGTTTATAACCGCGGATAATACCCATAACCGCCTATTTAAATTTCACGGGTAAACGGTTAAACCTATAACCGTTTATTTATCTAAACGGTTACCCATAACCGTAACTGTCAAATTTAAATGGGCGGATAATCACGGTTACCCATAACCAATGGGTATTTGCCCATCCCTAGTCTTAACAAAAGGAAAAACTATATTTACTCCAAGGAATTTCTCTTGTGGATATGCCTTTCAAATAGGGGTGGGTTTAAAAAATTGAAACTTAAAAATCCAAACCGAACACTGAATCAAAGTTAAAAAATCGAAAAAAGCCAAACTGAATTAGAATACCCCAATGGAATTGAAATCTGTTGTTTCGGTTTCAACGGTTCGGAAACTGAACCAAACAATCCTTAAAACGAAATTGTTTTACCTACACACATCTAAACGTTATCGTTTTACTTTATCCTATGAATAAACAATGCGGTTCGAAGTTTTCCTCCCATGCCTCCCTCTCCTCCGCGACACCTCCTCCACTTTCAATCGTTTGCACTGCTGCGGGAGCAAGCATACAACTTGGAAGAAATTGCTCATATGCATTGGAATTGGAATAATAATGGTTGTGTGCATTGAATTACATAGGAATTTGTTAAGTCCATTTAGGTTATCATGAGAGTCTTTTTGGAAGTAGTAACATCTATGATTTCCTTATCTTTACTCTCTTTAAATTATGATGTAATACAAGCATTTGGGAGACTTGAATGAATTAAAATATATTTGCTTAGTGCAATCGAAGTTAGTTGTTTCTCCTTCCTAAATCAAGTGTTAGGCTTGATCGTGTCGAGTGAATTCACAATTAGTAACGTCGAGAAAACTTCGTTGCCCCTGATTGAGCGATCCCCAAGTTCTATCCCTGTCTCTTGCCTCTTGGAGACCCTCGGTTTTTTCATGCATCATGCACTCTCTCACTTTGTGCTCCTCCTCAGTCCTCACCCTCCCTCACGGCCTCTCCTCTGTACGCACCTTAGTGTTTTAAAAGGAAGAAAAAACAAAGCCAAAACCAAATTGAACCGAAAAAATTGAATAAAAATCAAACCGAATAGAAAACTGAACCAAATAGAACCAAATAGTAATTTTGATTTAGTTTTCGATTTAAACAAAAAACTAAACTAGATAAAACTGAACCCACCCCTACTTTCAAATAATGCCAAGCCTTTGTGAAACTCATACACCTTTGAATTTTCATTTTTAGTTAAATAATATGTTGTAT